AGATTTAACAATAAATTTGACGAATCCTAACGACGGTGGGGGTTTTTCGCACAAAAGGTTTCAAATGTGGAGATTTTATGTGAATTCCAATAGGTAGGGATATATCACACATGAAAATAAATCTAGGGGGTTTCCTGCAGTTGATCCTTAATTAAATGAATATGAATATTAATTAATTGATAATTAATAATAGCAAATACATGCACGAACAAAAATTTTGTAGTATTTATTTCAATTTGTAATTATGTTTCATGTGGTGAAAGCAAACAAGTGAAATGAATATGTCAAATGTACATTGATAATAACTAAATAATTGACAAATAATTCATGAAATATTGTTCAAATGATTAAAGAAAATATGATACATGAATTTTAAATAATTTATAATTAATACCACGAAATACATACATGACAATGTGCTAATTAGCATATTAGCATACATGAACGTGAATAATAAAATGCAGTATTGAATGTGAAATTCTAATTAGAATTAATGACATAAAAATGTATAAATGAAGATGAATTAATTAAATGAATGTGAATTTTAATTAATTGAGAATTAATAATAGTAAATTCTTACATGAACAAGAATTTGTAGTATTTATTACGATTTGTAATTGGGTTTCATATGTTGAAGGCACACAAGTAAAATGAATCTGTTAAATGTGCATTGATGGTGGCTAAATAGTTGGTACAATAATTTATGATAATATTAAAATACAAAAATAAGGTATTATTGAAATAATTGAATTGTAATAAGACTAAAATCATCTAAAAAATGATTCTCACTTGATGCCTTATTATTGTTATTATTATTATTATTATTATTATTATTATTATTATAGATTTGTCCAAAATGGTCATTTGGAACACTTGAGAAGGAATAGATCCAGAATATCTCTGTCAAAATTTAAAGATTAGAGATAAAAAAAAAAAATGGAGAAAAGCAAGGGCTAATATTAGGGACCATTTGCACCAAAATCATAATTAGGATTCTGTGTGGGTTAGGCCAAATTTTTATCATCCAAACCCAATCCAATATGGTTGGTTCGATATAAAATCAAATCAATCCAACCCAATTATCATTTATCTATTTAAACCCAACCCAAACCAAACCGATCAAGTTTGGGTCAGTCGGTTTGGGCTTGAGCCCAATTTAAATTGGATTCGATTATTTACTCGGAAAATTTCATGAGAAAGATATTAAATATGTCATATTTCAAAACTAGGAAAACAAGTTTCAAACTTTAAAAATCAGATTTTTATTAAAATATATTTATGGTTTAATCAATTTATTAAATATATTTAGGTCACATGTCTATACAATTTGGTCACAAATTAACAATTTAATTAGTCACTTATTATTTTTTTGTCACAATAAAAAGTTTTATGTCACAAATTATTTTACGATCCTAATTCAAAAATTTTGTAGGTCACAGTTTGTTCATCGATCACAAATCAAAAAATTAATTTGTCAGGGATTAATTTTTAGTTACAACTTATCAAATTATTGCTTACAAATTATTTTTCGGTCACAAATCGAATATTTAATAGGTCACATGTTATTTTTCAGTCAAGAATAAAAAAAATTATTGGTCAAAGATCATAAATATTATAGGTCACAACTTATTAGATAATTACAAATTATTAATTTTTTAGGTCACACAATATTTCTTCGTCACAATTATCTTTTTCATTGGTCACATATTAACCAATTTACTGGTCATAATCAATCAAATAATCTGTGATCATCACCAACACTTATGACCATCATTTCAACGCTGCCTCCAACAGCAGCACCACCACCATCACCGCCAAAATCATCACCATATTGGTCACAAATTAACCAATTTATTAGTCACAACTTTCAGTCAACCAATAAACCCGTCACATACACCCACACCCCATCCCACCACTCCAAAGCACCGCACTATCGCCAACCACCACCAGTGATGTTGCCCATTGCCACCACCACTACAACACCAACAGCAGCCACGCCCCATCCCACCATTTCAAAGCACCGTACCACTGCCAACAATAACCAGCGACGTCGTCCACTACCACCACCGTCGATATCACCACCAATACAACACCAACAATAAAACCACCACTGCGATGAGCATCGCATTTGTGACCAATAAACAGTGGCACTAAGGCACCATCATCACACACCCAACTCCGAAACCATCGTCTCTTATGCACTACATGTGACCACCACCTCTACCACCACAAAACCACCTCAAAAATAACCACAAAAATACCACAAGAACCACCACAAACCTATCACCAAAAAAAGAAAAAAAAAAAAAAGAAGAGCCACAAACCATAAATATATCTCCACTGCCACGCATAGCGCACTCTTAACCCATCATCTCCGCCTAGGCTGGTCGCTGCACGCGACCGGATATCTAACCCGATCGTCGCTGTGGGCGGCAAACTCAAGCGTCGTTTAGCTGCAATGGGTTTGCCGCTCACAGTGTCTGATAGCGACAATGGATTCGAGTGGCTTCAGTTCGATGCCGACGCTCTCAGGTTGAGAGGTGAGGCGGCGATGAGAGTTGTTGAGAGAGAAGGATGGAGTAAATTGATTAGGGTTTTGGGATAAAAATTGTATATTTAATATTTGTAATTAAATATGAAATATCCGATTTGTGAAATGTGAAAATTCCCACCTGATTTTAGAATACAAGATTTTACACTAAGGTTTCCTGTAATTTCCACTTATTTTTCTATTGAATCTACACAATTTTTTAGAGTTCAAAATTACTTAAAACGTCTTTTGTTTCTAACCTAAAAAGGGATTTTTTTCTGAAAATTAATTTTTGAATAAGGATTTTTCAACCATTTTTTGGGATTCATTCATTTTGTTATCATATCCTTAATTTTTAATTTATCATCAGATAAATTTGCATTTGTACATAATATCCATGTCAATCGATTTATCTAAAAAATGGATGTTTGTAAATTATAACTTATTTTCTTGTTTTTACACTATTTAGTTTTTTCGTTTTAGATATTAATTTTTTTTTAATTCATTGGGTTGGGTTTAAATTCATAAACCTGAGATCCAACCCAACCTCAAATTTGATTTTTTAATCTAACCCAACCTAATTGAATTTAAAAATCAACCAAGACAAATCGATTTAGATTACGAGAAAATTCCCAATACTGGTATTAACTCTGTGCCAATTCAATTTTCAGATTTTAAGTTTCAAAATTCAAAACTAAGGAGATAAATAAATAATTAAATATATTTTATTAATTAAATCTATTAAGGCTACAATTATACAATTAATAGTCACAAGTACGTCCTAGTTTATTAGTCACATATTATCAAATTAACTAGTCACATATTATTTTATGGTCACACATCAAAAAATTTATAGATTACATTTGATTTCATTTTGTCACAAATCAAAAATTTAATAGGTCACAGTTGATTTGTCAATTATAAATTATAAAGTTAGTTGGTTTATCGAATGTTTAAGTCACAATTATCGAATAAGTTATCGAATGTTTAAGTTAGTTGGTAAAGTTAGTATAAATTACAAATTATCGAATGTTTAAGTCACAATTAAATAGTTGATTACAAATTAACAAAAAAACTTGGTCACAAACACCTCCACACGAACATTTGGTCACAAACACCATTGCTTCCAGCAGCACTGCCACCAACACCAACACCACCCCAATCATCTCAAACAAAACAAAACTGTTATGACCAAAAATCACAATCTTCACCATGATGACAGCGACGACTATGCTAAATAGATCTAAAAAGGAAGCAAAAACCATCGCCACGACCACCACTTTACCACCGCAGCCAACAGCACAACCATCTAAACACTACTAACAAATCAAATCCAAAATCGTTAGTACCCCACAACACTAGAATTGGACCATCGATCGATGAGGATAAAAGCCAACAAATCAGATCCCCCAACACCAGAATATCGTCAATGAGGATGAAAGTCGCATGGGAAGAAACCGTCTTCCAGCGCATCGGGTTGAATGTTATCGAACACCGTCGAGGTGAGGGTCGCGCGAAGGGGAACCATCATCGCGCGACAAAGTGATAGGGTGAAGAGAAATGTCTCGCTGCAGATCCAGTGTCTCAAATCAAGACTCTCTGCAGTGGGGTATCGTCGCTCATTACTGCCGTTGCGATGGTCTGACGATATTTCCCGTTGTTTGGAATAGAGGGGGGGCAGAAAAGTAGGGGATAATGAGAGAGAAGAAAATAATTTTCAGTCAAAAGGGAAAAGGGAAGCTGTGCACGTAGGAGAGAGAAAACTTCTGAATTAATTATTTTGACCATTTACACCAATTTGAGCAACAGTCATTCGACGTTATCTTCTTCCGTTTTGAGCAACAAAGCCGAGAAGAACACATATGTTTACAAACCGGTTCAATCAGTCTTTGTTCCAAGCAAACAATCTTTGTCCCATTGCAAAGGCCGACGTCGATATCGTCCCGTTCAGAAATCCGGCCAGCCAACTGAAGAATTAGTCGAAACCCGATTTCTTTGTCTTCGCCATCGGAGCGAGCCATTGTGTCTATGTTTTCCAACAGTTAATTAGTAAGTTTCTTCAGTTTCACTTCTTTAATTAGTAGGGTCTTTTATTGCCATTATGGCTTGTGGGGTTGACATTAATGTGCACCAATTTAACCAGACAAACGACATTGAATATTCAATTAATATGCAATAACTCTTCCAAATTCGCCCGGTAGTGGGAATGACGTGAATGGTCAATAGTTTGGGAAAATATTTAACAATTTTAGGACCAATAAGGTTTAATTATTTATCATTCTAAAGCTTTGCAACCTTATAACTGAACTGGGCTTGTGGGCAATTTTATTTAGTTTATTATGGACCATTTTAAACACTGGTTAATGTATCAAATGAGCTATGTAATAGTTTGCCATTATATTGAAATTATTAGATTGAATAGTGTGTGTTACCAAATCACGTCCTTCTGTTATAGCTTTATGTTACACCAATGAATACCCAGCTTCTTCTGGTAAGCTCATGATAGAAGCCAACTTATGTGAACTCTATTTGCAAAAAAACTATAATCTTATAGCTTTTTGTCCAATCTTTCCATGTGATTGATGATGGTTGTGTCAATTAGTATGGTCACTTTCTGGAGTTTCGATTCAGAAGATGGTCTAAAATGGGGATCACAAAAGAAATTGTGCAACATTATTACGAGTCTGCATGTAGCAATCACATACTGTTACCCTGTTTTCAATTTTATTTAGTTTATTACGGACCATTTTAAACACTGGTTAATGTATCAAATGAGCTATGTAATAGATTGCCATTATATTGAAATTATTAGACAAGCAAAGGCACTCTGTGTGAGTGAAAAATGTGATTGAGAATAACCTTATAATAGTGTTATTGTGGATTACTGAACATGTGATATCTTATCATATTACAGGGGAAGAAATTATGGATGAAGTGCAAGGTGAAGATGATGGTGTTTTGGCGGCATCTGACCATGAGAATTGTATGGACTCCGCTAACATAGTGGAAGGTGAAACCTCATTAGGAGATTGTTTGATAGTGCCGGACGTGGGTATGGAGTTTAAAAATTTGAAAGATATGTTTGACATGTACAAGAAATATGCCTATGCTGTTGGTTTTTCGGTTAAAAAAAGAAATTCGAAAAGGGGAGACGATGTAGAGTTGAGATATGTGACAGTGACATGTGGTCGAGAAGGTCGAGGAAATGAAAATATTGATGGATCTTCGAAGCCGCAACCAACAATACAGATGGGTTGTAAAGTGAGAATCTCTGCTTCTGTAGATATTTATGGTGTTTGGAGACTTAATACTGTCAACCTTGACCATAATCATGAAACTAGCCATTCGAAGTCCAGGTTATTTCACTGCAATAGAGAATTGAGTGCACACGTAAAGCGCAAGCTACAAGTCAATGATTTTGCAGGAATTCCATTGCATAAAAGTTACAATTCAGCTGTTGTCGAAGCAGGTAGTTATGAGAACATGAGTTGCGTGGAAAAGGATTGCCGAAATTACATTGAAAAAGTGAGACGATTAAGACTTGGGGAAGTGGACGTCGTCGCAATACAAACATACTTTTCAAAAATGCAAGCACGGTGCTCAGGCTTTTTCTTTAGTATGGATTTGGACAATGATTCCCGATTGAAGAACATATTTTGGGCAGATAATCGCTATAGGCAAGCGTATAAAGAATTCGGCGATGTTGTTACATTTGATATCACTTACTTGACAAACAAGTATGACATGTCGTTCGCCTCTTTTGTTGGTGTTAATCATCACGGACAATCCACATTGTTGGGTGGATTGGTATCGAATGAAGATACAAAAACTTTTGTGTGGTTGTCTAGAACATGGCTCCAGTGTGTGCATGGACAAGCACCGCAGGGGATAATCAGGACAGGGCAATGCAAAATGCAATTCAGATAGTTTTCCCGAACACAAGACATAGATGGTGTTTGTGGCACATTCTGAAAAAGTTGTCTGAGAAGTTTGGACACCACAAAAACAAGGCATCAATATTTGGACGGATACACGGATTGGTATACGATTCATAGTTTGTCTAGGAGTTCGAAGAAGGTTGGGCCGCGATGTTTGATGCGTACGTCTTGCATGAGAACGATTGGTTATCCGGACTGTATGCAAACAAAGCTCGTTGGGTTTCTTGTTTTCTGAAGACTAGTTTCTGGGCAGGGTATCAACGACACAGAGAAGCGAGAGTATGAATGCATTCTTTGATGAGTATGTGCATTCGAAGACGTCATTAAAGCAATTTGTCAATCAGTATGAGCGAGCATTGCGCAGTAAAGTTAAGAATGAGTTCCAAGCTGATTTCAAATCATTTGCGCAAACATTACCGTGTGCCACAATTATGAAATGGAGCAGCAGTTTCAATCAGTTTACACTATTTATAAATTCAATGAGGCTCTGGCTGAGTTTACGGGAAATGTTTACTGCGACCTCATCTCTACTTCGGAGGGACCCTCAGGGACGATGTATGAGGTTCGGCAGGACGTTATGGGCGGCGGGATAAAGAGGAAGAAAACATTCGTTGTCTCATTTGATAGACAAAATTGTGATATTATTTGCAGCTACCATTTGTTCGAGTTTAGGGGGATAATTTGTAGGCATGCTATTGCAGTACCGATTCGTTGTGACGTCACATTACTTCCTGAGAGGTACATACTGCGAAGGTGGAGGAAAGACGTTAGCAGAGCACACACTAGAGTCGCAGTCAATTACGACGGTTTGGTTAGTACTCCTAAGCAGTTGAGGTACGGCGACATGTGCCGTGCTTTTGAAGAAGTAGCGGACCTCGCAGCAAACGATGAGGGTCGAGCATGTGTGATTATGGAATGGATAAAACTTCAGCGTCAAGACCTCATGATGTCTAAAAAGTCAGGTACAGGAAGCAATGCTATATCCAAACATTCTTTTGACCATATGGACCAATGCACTGATTTTCAACATCATGATAGCGTGACTATACGTGATCCAGTAGCGTCACACACAAAAGGGTCCCCCAAGAAACTTCGAAGAAAAGGTCTGTTGGAGTCGAGTTCGAAGAAAGGCAAGGTATGTTCAAAGTCTGGACTATAAAATTCAAATGTCTCTAATAATTAATATTGATCACATCCTATGCATATTTAGGGAAGCTCAGCACCAAACAAAGGAAAGCGACCAAGCACGAGGCAAAGGGATACGGCTGAGAGTGTGGTCGACATTTAGCATGCTCAAACACAACAACATTCCGTGTAGACACCGACCTCATATTTATCGTACCCCAGGCTGGTGACATTCCCCTTAACACAATATTCCATCACGACATCATTCTCCCTTTCAAGTGTGCTGCCGTCTTCAAATTTTGTCCCTCCTTCATCAACAAACATTATGTATAGTTCACAAGGTAAGAACAAAGTATGACATTTCAACTTCCGATGTATATTTCTTTCATGAATGCAGCTAACAATTTTCTCAATGTATTGTAGGTCAAGCAATGCCATACTACTTTTCGCATTTACTTGACAAGGTGGCTCAGGCAAGTGAGGGTCATGCAATGCCATAATGATAAAGGTTTGGGCTTCCAACTATTTTTTTGAAGGTTGATGCCAAGGTTTTTTTGAGGGGTTAAAACTTGCATTGTCTACGACAATGGATGCCACTGTATGAAGTTTTGGACGAAATAGTTCATTTCAATCAATTATCTGACTCTAATTAAATTTCCTGAACCACTAGAATAGTGTAATAACATGTTTATATTTCCATTACTTGGTAGAAGTTTATGGACAGAATGGTGTCAGCTTAATCATTTTTTGGGTGTTTGCTATTCAGATTCACCAATAGAAGGAGATTTTGACGGTTTTTCCAAGTATGAAATGTAATCATAGCAACCAAACACCGAAAAAGAACAGATGGAGTTAAACGTTTTTGTGTAAATTATGTGCGTGAGATGGAAAGACTTGAACTTGTATGTGATTTTGTTTGTCATGTGCTAAGCAAGTAATAGTGATTTAATATGTCCCTAAGACATCTACCAGTCTTGTGATTGATTTATTGCTTTATTCAACAGAATTCTGGCAATGATTCTGGGTTCTAGGGAAGGTTTCGCCTAATCGAATTAAGTTCTTGCAATTTGTCAGAGAGTGACATTACCTGTAATTATTTAATCACATCCCATATTGAAAAAAAAAAAGAATAGATGGGACAAGTTTTATTCTGTAATACAAGTAAAATCCATGTCAAAAGGTCGGTCTTGATTTTCCCCATTTCCATTATTCTATTTCTTCTCAAAGCTTGCTTGATGCTTTAAGGAGGACTAAACTGTTTCTCAATAACTTATTAATATGTTTTGTATCATTTGTGTAAAATAATCAATACCACGACTACTTTGTTATCCCCTCTACGATAGCTTGCCGAATGATCCACACTGCACCTAGATCACCCAAAGAAGCTGCTAACATGTATTTCGTCGTCATCCACTGCAACCAGAGATCATTTGTCTTAGCTCAAATTTTTTTTTCTTTTTTTTTTTGGCTTATAAGTGATAATTAAGTTTTAATTACAAGTGCACTGATTTTAAAGATGTATATTTGGATAAAACTGTACTTATAAATTGCCAAACATTCCTCTATAGTTAAATTTTCTAAAGTATATAAATAAATAACTAATAAAGTATTTAACTTATTAATAAATAGAGTTATACAAATCAGTTTTAAGTTGCGATTGTTTAACGTATAAGTAAATTTTGAAAAAGTACGTGAAAAGGAGCAATTATAAGTAGATCCATATAGAGTCCAGCCTTATAATTAGTTTTAAGTAGCAGTGGTTTAACTTATAAGTAAATTTTGAATACATGCAAGGCTACAAAATATGCAATGTACCCATTGACATTCGAATAGTTTAAGTAGATTCAGTCATAATAATCCTACACGTACAAAAGTGCATGTAATAACTCATTCGACTCATAACTACTAATCAAGCCGACCCCTTCCCCCGTGCATTCGACTCTGCACTGTCTTCTGCCTTGCATATCGTCACGTTCATTCAAATCCGTAGGTCTACTTCATCATTGAGGCGAATGAGAGATTGGAACATGCGTGATATATCGTCTACTCTTTCATTTGTCGCATCATTAACTGAGGCATTCGTGCCGCTAGAGGATTGATCGCTTGACTTTTCTTTGACAACCCATCCCCGAAAACCACAATTGGCACTTCAGCAAAGAAATAAACGACCTCTATTGACAGTCTCCTTTTTTACGACGAAGCACTTCTCGAATCCATGCTTGCATGATGGACATCGGCGTTTCTTTGGGCATTCGGCAAAGAAGTGGCTTTTAGATCTACAACTATGACAAATTCCAGAATTTCTTCCAACCATTCTGAGATGAGAATAAATTATAGAATTAGTATAACTAAACTCAAAATGAGCGATAACAAAAAATGCAATCAAATACATTGATAGTGACAAAAATAGACGTGACAAGAGACACCAACTTGTAATTTATAGTATACTAGCAGAAAATGCCACCATGGAAAGCTTCTTTCTTTACTAGAAATGCAAACCACATCCAGAACCTAGTAAAGACTGTCAATTTTCAGTACAGATTTAAGCTCCTTTTCTTCAAATCAATATCTATGTCAAGTTACACTCATCGATTTGGGTTCCATGGAAGCTCTGAGAAAGATATGAAAAATTACCATTTATGAGTTAGATGATCACTCAAGTCCCCAAAAATAGGGAAGAATAAGGCTACAAGTCAGCCATCTGTTAGAGCTATAAGAGATGATCAGCTTGGCTATTAATTTTGTGCAGCGATCAACCCACAAATACAACCCCCACAATTTCCCATTCTGATACCACCATAGAAAACTACCGATACAAGTTCAATGCGAAAATAAAGAGTAAAGTCAAGATAATATATGCTTCATATATGATGATCAATAATAGCGTACATGTTAGCTAATATTGTCAACCTTCAACGACATACTCTATACCCCAAGTAGCCATCCTCGGCATTTGCCGCAGTCTACTAACAGTTAAAACACGGTCCATACACACAATCGTTATTGAATAATTATGCTAAATAATCACTGACGTTATTTTCTTGTGATGATAGGACTCACGTTTTCAACTATTACACTATTTGTCTCTTGATAAAAAATAAAACTAACCATAAATGGCACTATTAAATGTTTTATATCCCAAGTTTGCAACATTTGGAAGTTAGGAATCAGCACACACATGCCATTTCTTTCTCCCCTTAAACTATAAAATTCAAGAAAAGTCTTCTAACATAGATGAATTAGCACACATACAGGAGAATCTTGGAAAATGGAAAATTTTGGTGTTTCAACTAATGATTCTACAAAATTTTTTTGAACACATACGTTTATGCTTCAAAGTTGGTTTTTCTACCTGTGCAAAGCCTAAAAATTGAAATTGCAGTGAGAGACGGAACTCTAGTGCTGACTTTGCTACCGGTTATAGATAGTCATTCTGGCTGTGAAATGATGGATGGAGGAACAATCGGAGTGGAGGCGAAAACCATTGATGGAAAGAGTCGAGTTCCTTGGGTGAAACCTACTATTTAGTCGGAGAAAAATTGAAGAGTAATTGGGGCAAAAAGGAGTGGACGGTGGGAGGTGAAATGGGGGAAATGGGCAGGAGAATTGGTCAAAAGGGGCTGCACAATCAGTCTTTAAATTGTCCTTCTCTTTTTTACTTTTCAGCCCTTATTTTGTCCTTCTCTTTTTTTCATTTTTTTGCCACATCAGCCGGGATTTCATCTGGATACAATCTGGCCATGTACCGCGATTGAGAAGAAAATAAGAGGACGATTAAAGTTGGGTAGGGGTGTGGTGGATTAATTTTATAATACCTGAGTTTTGATTAAAAAACCTTGGCACCCTATTTTTGCACTGTGGACTTGAAATGTCTGGAGTTGTGTAATTTCCTCTTTAGATTATGTCGGTCGAGTTGAGTGGTTTGGGTTGAGTTTTGCCCAACCCTATTTGTACAACAGAAGAAAAAGGTTCATATTCTAACAAAAGTGGCAGTTTTGATTTGTTTTCCTTTTCGTTGACAAAAAAATAAAAGGGATAATTGCAACAAAGGCCCCAAACCTTTTAAACACTAGCAGACTTTCCTTAAATCTTTGATTTGTTGCAACCGTCACCCCTAACCTTTTTAAAGGTTTTAGGTGAAGCCCAATGGATGGTAAAACATCCGTTTTACCGTTAGTAAAAAATTGAGTTTGATCACATTTTTAATACTTTTATAAAGGGCAAAATTGTAACTTTTTATATACCAAATTAAATAATTACATTAATTAATTAAATTAAAAATGAAAAAAAGGGGGGAAAACCAAAAGAACCATCGCAGCCAAAACTCAATCGCCACCTCCATTCCAGTCACTTGCAGCTTTTATTCCATTGACTCACCATCTAGATTGGGATTTCCTTTACCCTTTGTGCAACAAGAATGAGCAATTCTTATCTTTCATTGTTGAGCAAGGCAAATTCCTTTGACTGATTGGAACAGAGAAAGCAGCTGTTACCAGTAATGGAGACAGCCGAGGCCGAGTGAGCCATATTGATAGTGAGCTAGTCCTGGGTACGCTTCAACACAGTCAAGTAGGTGGTATCCTCGTTCTGGTCCTTCCAAACTAATCTCTAGCTGGCCAGCAGGTCATCAGGAGTCACCGCTCGGATCTCGTCGGGCGTAGCAACCCGGCTAATGTGCAGCGCTAATGTCTCCTAACACCATCAATTGCAGCAAGATCCAGTGAATTAGAGTTTCGAGGCTAATCGCAGATTAGGGGGGATTCGGCATCTTGTTGCTGATGACATTGTCATCGTTAGTGGAAGGCTGAGATTGAGCTATTCATGGTGGGGAGGTAGTGGACCCATTTTGCTAAACACATCCACTTCAATTTTATTTGGATTCATGGCAAAACCCAGTAAGCAAAAACAGCCAAAAAACTTTGGCTCAATTAGGGATGGGAGGAAGAAAATACAGTTTCCCTCCCTTTTTTTTTTTTTTAAATTTAATTAATTAATGTAATTATTCAATTTGGTAAATAGAAAGTTACTATTTTGCCCTTTATAAAAGTATTAAAAATATAGTCAAACTCAATTTTTTGGTCAACTAACGGTAAACTGGATGTTTTCCATTTATTGGGGCTTCACCTGCAACATTTGAAAAGGTTAGGTGTGACGGTTGCAACA